CAAGTTTGCATATTTGGAGATTGTTTTATATTCCATATCCTGTGATCGGATCAATTTCGATGTCTATGAACTTGAAATATCAAAAGATGGAATTCTGAATACTGAGTGTTTTTGTGTTAAAATATTGAAGTGAGGTTGGAACATCTTTCAATTCATGTATTTACTTAAATGAATCTGAATAATTTCATGATTATCTTCTATATTTGACAATACCAATAGTGCTGAGCCACATGTACAACTTTGTTTATTGAAAAAGACTGTGGTAACAATTGCATCAAAGCCGTTTTTCGTCCTTATCGGTTTGTGGTTTGGCTGGTACGACTTTTCTTATACAACTATGGTAGACATTATAACAGTTGATGAGGCAATGGGCGGGAGACCTAGTAGTCCTCACGGATGTGTCTACTGCGATTGTAGACGAAACGTCTGGCATAAACACCTGCAGACCACAGCCAGATGACACGAAACATAGCTTTGACAGCCATCTCCACTCGTGAAAATTTATTCTCAGTGTCGGCAATATTTTAATCAATTGAAAATAACTGCGGCGAGTTGAATATCGGACAGTTTTCAAAAGTTATACCAACTGATTTATATTGACCCACCACCATTCTTTCAAATAATTTCTTTTTGAAATCGTATAAACCTACTATACACTTTTTTCATAACAGCTCACCAAAACGACTTGGTACAGAACAATGCAAAAAACACCGTGAAATCATTTTCAAAACCCATTCCTTGTAAAGCATTATTCAGTGAAATCAAGGTACAAAACTACACGTTAACACTATTTTTCGGGTTCAGAAGGTTCATACATCCTGAGTTTATCTTCAATGAATGGACTCAGAAGCTAGCCACTCACGCCAGCGAAATGTCAGGAAGAAATTCCAAAAATCCACAGCCTTCACGCCCAAAAAATAGTGATAATGAAAACCTTGGTCGCTAAAGCCATAACTACACAATAAAATCAAATGTGTGGATCTATTGATCCACTGAGCTAATTAACGGAAAAACAGATCTTTCAGTGACATTTGACACTTCCAGTGAAGGAGTTTATTTCGGTTCGACCCGAGTGACGGGGTAATCCTTTTGGAAAACTCTTCAGACTTTAACCGTACTGTCTTGATGCATAAGAGAACACTCAGGGTGATAGACACGGCTAGTTTTGAAGATTTTTGTAAACTCATATTCGAAATAATAATGTTACGTTTTTCTCCGTGGGTTCACCAATAATATTGACTACACTGAATAATGAAACTCAACTTTATTTCACGTTAGATATAACGAACACTTCAACTAAAAATTTGAATGTCTATCGCTTTACTAGATCACTTCGCGTACCGCACAGTAGCTTCCACTTGACTGTCTCGGTATCCTCGTGGCTAGCCTTTAAATACCGTAATCGAATGTTGTAGAAACTTCGCCGAAGTTCTGTCGAAGTCAGTAGCACTATTCTCGCTGCATCTAGAGTGGCGGGGAATCTTCGTACATTCGCGCGCTCTTAGTTACGCCACCATTGGTTTATGACTACCGGTGGCGGCCAAAGTTATCTTCTTTCGGACATGGTTTACAACAATAACATTCCGTTTATTTGAAATTCACAATAATTACAGAGACATCAAAAATAGTCTACTTATGAACCCTCAAATAACACTACCAATCTAAATATTAATATGTTACCTGATTGGCGAAGGTTCTATCGGTGAAAAAGTTTTCAAAGTGCTTGAAAAGATTAAAATTTGGAAAAAATGAGCATCAATCAATGTATAGAGTACATCATTCTCGAGAGATCAGTTTATATCACGACGCAGTAGAATTAATATTCATTGAGATAAACACATGACTTTATGTATATTACTGGAGTTTAATCCTAACACCAAACTGTTAAAAACAACGGTTTGGTGTTAGAATTAAACTCCAGTAATACTCATTACTAGACCAAAGGTTCCAAACAGTACATCACAAGCACATGACTTTATGACAAAAAAAAAATTAAAAAAATTAAACAGTCTAATATTACACAGCTTTGAGTCAATTGTTAACTTTTCATCCTTTCTTCATCACATGAATTTCACCGATAAACCGTGTGATCCGATGAAGATTATTTTTGATGAAAAAAGGAACAGTGACTGTTGTTGACAAGTGACAATGATACTGTCAAAACAAACTGCGCCGAAGAGAAGCAAATACCATAGAAAAGAGAAGAAGAAAACATTTTCTTACAGATTTCGTTAACGTGGAAACTAAAAATTATTCATATTTTGAGTGAAATGATCTTCAAATATTGAATAGTTGTATCGACATACTACAAATTTCATAATGTGATAACGTCAATGAATTTATTCTATTTTCGTTAGTTTACTGACAAATTCCGCTCAATAAGAATTCGATTTATACGCCATAATGAAATTATATCCTACATATTTTAGATTATATTACAGATCAATTTGAATTGATTAATTTCTTGTTTCGAAGAATCATTTCTGAATCCTAAGATATTCTATGATCAAAACGTGCTTTACTCAAAAATTCCATTGTTTTTGAAAAAGTATATTTCCATCAGCAAAGGAGTAATGAATCATTTTCAAGGACGTACCAAAAAGTGCATATGGGTGATTTTTCAAGAGGAATAGGATCTGATTTTCAAAACAACACATGAAATTAGAAAAAAATTTATGAAATCTTTATTGGAATCGATGAAACGATCAATATAATTTCATTTTTGAAGATGATTTCATGCAAATGTTGTCCGCGGCTCCGCTTTACATGGGCCATAAGCAAGGTCCAATTTTGGCACACTCTCTCTAATATATCGACCGGTATTTCATGTATGAATGCTTCAATTTGGGCTTCCAGAGCGTCAGTCATTGCTGGTTTATCCTTATAGACATGAGCCTTAACATGGCTCCACAAGAAGTAATCCAAAGGAGTTAAATCACACGACCCAGGCGGCAAATTGACCAATTCTTGAACCAGCTGTATCTTATAAGGTTTAACACCCAAATCCTTTCGCAAAATTTTCCACGTAGTGGCCCAATTGCTGCGAACGGCGGCTAATCGACATTTCACGGTCATCACGAACACTGGCGGATACAGCCGCAATATTTTCTTCGGTCTTCACTCTACGTATGCATGTTGGTGGTTTAATGTCTAATAAATTTAAACTGGCTTCGAAATTTAGTCACAAGCTTCCGAATAGCTCCCTCAGTAGGCCGACGAAACTGCTCATAAATTGGAAGAAGTGCACGATGCACTTTCTTCACCGAGCACGAATTTTGATAATGAAATTTAATAATTTGCAAGCGGTGTTCATTCGTAAGTCGATTCATGGTTGAATTATAGACCAAACTGACCAAGTTTGACAATGACACAAGACAGGATTCACGCGTGATCTGTCAAAAACAGTGTTGCCAAAAATATACCAGCAAAAAAATCACCCATTATAACTACTTCGAGAATTGGAAAACCCCTGGCACAAGGGTTTTATATCTGCGAGGGACTATTTCAAAGGGAACAAAATAGAAACTGATGAATAAAATGAATAGTTTTTGAGTAACATGAAAATTCACCTTATTTTTTGAAATTGGATTAAGGATCTTCCACACACAAACTATTGTAACCTCTTTAATATGGTCGGCATTCTTATTAACTCATTTGTTGTATGTCATACTTGTTTGTGTGGTTTTGAATATCAATTTGTTTGCGTCACTGTCACGTGTAATAACAATGTTCAAAAGAAATCACTACTACTACAAACCTGAAGAGCGGAAGGACACAGTGGAATATGTAGAGTACAGCAAATTGAGTGGTCCTTATTTGAAAAAACAACTGTAAACTCAACTTGAAACTTTCTCACATACACTTCACGTTTTCCGTTGGGAAGAACTAGCCGGTAGAGGAAATAATTATTCCAGAACTTTCTGCTATAAGAGTATTTCATATTCTGCAAAACTGACTATGGGTACATAGACCGAGAACCCCCGAAGGCTCGGCATACTAGTCCTGGAATGAGATACCGAAGGTGCACATGCCATCCAGGTTTTCAGAAGCATTAGAGCTTCTGCTAACGAATTGGGGAGAACATTGTACCCCAATTACAGTAAATGAAACATCCATTTTGTGCATTTAGAAACTTGCGTTTCTAACAACTAACCATGCCACACAGTCCCCTACGGCTCTGAGGAATGATTGATTCTCTACAGTCCCCTACGACTGTGAGGAATATATCTGATAGACCAGAGCTTCGGAAAGGATACACCGAAATATGTCCCGTGGGGTCCAATAAAATAATTGGACGTCCAATGATTTTATTGGACCCCACGGGACATATTTCGGTGTATCCTTTCCGAAGCTCTGGTCTATCAGATATGACTATGGGTAATAAATAAAAATATTCTCGATGACGGCAAGAATTTTATGGTTTCTGCTTTATGGTGATTCAAATTTTCATAAATAACTTGTATATTGTACTTGGATATTGTATTTTATACAGTTGCGAGGCAAAAAAATTAGTTTGCACCATCAAATCCCCATATCGATTTTGGGTTATTCTTGTCTGAATCTTGTTACATGTCAGCGTGTTGAAATATATGGAAAAACAGTTTGTTGCCATCACAATATGGGAAATAACGTAACAGTGCAGCGAACAGAACAGATTCACACAAATTGGGCCATATTCCTCCCTTGCATCTGAAATTATAAGAATTATGAAAATGTAATACTAACCTGAAATCCTCTCAATTTGGGTAACTGCACCAGGAACAATTGATTTATTCGTACTGCCGGTGGATGTGGATTCAACCTTGGTATTGGTCGGTTTAGGATGAGTCTTCTTGGAACTGTTGAAAGAACTCGACAAGTTACTCTTAACGTCCCACTTTGAAGACTTCTTTTCAACTCCGGTAGACTCTTCTTGAGGAACGTTTGATTTAGGATGAATCTTCTTGGAACTGTTGAAAGAACTCTTAACGTCCCACTTTGAAGACTTCTTTTCAACTCCGGTAGACTTTTCTTGAGGAACCTTTAATTTGGGAGAGGATGTATTCATCTTGGGAGATCCCACACGGACGGGAGCTTCCATTACATTCATAGAAGACATTGAACTTTTCGGTTGTAGCTGAGGCATCATGATCGGGGATAATTGCCTTGCCTCTTGATGCATTAGATATCCCGATGGAATTGGATGTCCTGGAGAAACTAAATGACTTGTATGCATGGTATATCCAGGGCCCATAAAGTGTCCTGGTCGTATGGGATATCCAGGTTGGATTGGATACATTGGTTCCATACCATATCCCGGTGGCACGAAATGCTGCTGGGGCATTATATGCGGTAACTGCATAAGTTGGTTTTGAACAGGAAAGGCGTTTGTGACGGGCTGGAGGAAATTCATATGCGAATTGAAACTGTTCCCATGGGTATTGGAGGAGTCATCTTTAGGTCCATACTTGAGCCTGAGATCCTCTGCTTTCTTGAGAGCCATATCTTCGTACTTGGCTATTTCCTCAGGGGTCAAAACAACTTTCTTTGGTTCATATTTTCTAGCTTCCTGTCGTAGTTTCTCCGCTTTTTCCAGGGCCAGTGCTTTGTATCTGGCTCTCTCCTCAAGGGACAAACCTACTCGGGGTTCCTCGAATTTTGTCACTTTCAGTGGAGGTTCCTCCCCTGACTTCCGTTTCAATTCCTCTACTTTTTGAGCTGCAATCGATTTGTACCGTTCCAACTTCTCCGACAACTTTACTAGCGGATTGGAATCATCCTTGGTTCGGAAAGACTTACTCATGGTTTTGGCTCCGGATTCGGCCTTGTTTTTTAATTTCAGATAACTGTCTTTGGAGTAATTAGAGACCATCTGAGCCTTTAATTTCAAAGCACGATATTTCGCTTTCCTCGCTTTTTTCTTGGACTCTGAGGGGTTTAAAGGTCCTGCAGATTGATTTGATTCACTTGCTAAGTTCGGATTGTCGACGATCACTGGCACTCTTTTGATGGTGTGGTCTTTGCAGTGAGCTATATCCACACAATTCTGGACCCTTTCACTATCCAAAACTTCCCAAACTGTTCTCAAGTTGAGCTTGTTGTGAACCTCCAAAGTCTTTATACGAATCCTGTCGCTGAAAACTACAAACCAAAAGCAATATGTTTATTTTGTTTCGTAATAATCGATGTGAAGATGAAGAATTTAAAAGTTGTGTACTCACATGAATCCCCTCTTTTGAGCTCTAGAGACCTTGTTCTATAAAAAAAGTATGATTACACATTGTCAAGGAGGAAACACATTTATTTACCTTTCTTTAGAGAACGCCTGCTCGGGGATTTCTCCCCTCAAGTGCAACTGGGAGAAGAAGTTTAGAGTTTTCTTCAGGTCATACTGGCAGTCATACAAGTACCTGAAATTCGTTAGAAGTGATGCAATTTATTTTACAAAAATATGTACCAGCTCTCAAGAGTAAAATAAACACAAAATCACGTTTAGGTTGGAAAGAACATCTTTAACTTCATTTTAGAAGTTTGACAAGACTATACAATCGGGAAAGCCCATCTGATGGTTGCTGCAACCAATGATTCTGCTTTTGGTGCTATTGGAATTGGTGTACGAATTCATCTCTCTCTCTCTCTGATTACGTTCGTCTTGTTTGAGCTTCTCTGCATTTCTTTGCTATGCCTCTACTATGGATGAATATTAAAAACTGGATAATGAAGTTTGGAATCAAAGTTAGAAATGTACACGAGGCCATCATTTGTCATTAGAATATTTCATCTCCTTTCTGGTGTTGGCAACCTGTGCATTCTTAGAAACTTGCTCTACTTTGTTCTGGGAGTATCTTGCTCTTCTCATCTGCAACTGGTGGAATTCTTCATATACCATCACACCTTGTTCAATTCTATCGAGCTCCTCTTGTTATATATCTCAACTATATAAAAAAAAACTACTAGATGGTATGAATAACTTTATTAACACAACACGTGGAAAACAGTATAATGTACATAACAACCAAGAACCTTCAAATATAGTTGTCACTCAACTGAGGCATGATTAAGTAAATATGAATCGCGGTTGACGCCCTTCAACGAATCCTGAGCGATACTCAGGAACTAACTTCGCTGCCAATTTACGAAAAAACTGCATGGCATGAGCTAACCGATATGCTGACATCCTCAGCAACTTCGGTGAAAGTAATTTGACGATCCTCCATAACAATTTCCTTCACCTTCTCAACAATCTCATCGGTGGTTGGGGCGTCCCAGGGTGAGTGTCGTCATTCACGTCTTCTCGACCTTCTGTGAAACGTTTGTACCACTTGCAAACATTTTTCTGACTCAGAGTATAACCACCGTATGTCACTGTCAATATTCCAAGTGTTTTTGAGCACTCAATTCCATTTTTTACACAAAATTTTATGCAAACTCTTTGATCCATTTTTTTATAGCAGAAAATCGCTGAATACGCAAAACACTTATAACTTTTATGTCTCTCACCAACAAAATAAACATGCTGAACAGTTGAAATTGTGAACATGTGTTCGAGACGTGTGTACCAACATTAAAACAATCGCTCATCGAATGTACGCAGCCCGCGAAATTTAAATATTCACCATATGTTTTTGAAAATCCACGTACAATGTCGACTGAAGTAAAAACAATGCAACCACAAAGAATGGGGAATGTTCTTCAATTTGGGTTATTACAGCAAATGCAAGTTTGAACAAAATAAAGTTGAGTTCAATTCATGAGTATTTCAAATTCATTTTGAAAAGTATTCAAATTGATGTTTCAAATGTTGGGTTTTAATTTTAAAAGGGATTTGTTTCTAATTCACATATTGGCAACATCACGTTGAAATTATTTATAAGTACCTAGATATTCTACTTTAAAAAAGGAAAATTATCTTTATAAATCAACAATTAAGGCAAAATACAAATTATAGTTCAATACCACCTCAACAAGCCAATAAACAACAGTTGTTTTGTTATTGATTTATATAGAGGAAGATAGGTTAGATGCACAAAATGTCATATGTCACAGAATGTCTCAGAACAGAAGTAAACAGAACAGCACGCCTCTGAAATGTGTCATCTTTGTTTGTCTCATACAGGTAACAGATTCATTGTGCTTTATTAGCTATAACCGATGTTGCCAAATGGTGAAATAGAAACGAATCCCTTTAAATGTTGAATGCATTATTTCATTCCTCTTTTATAAGTATTTAAATAATTTCTTAAAGAAAAAAGTTGAAATGATAAGTTTAGGATGCGTTGTTTTAGAGCTCTTTTATGAAAACTACTTGATTTTCGTCAGGAGGAACATTTCCCATTGTGTAAAAATGTATAAAAATTTCAACAAAGTTAACAGATTGAAATAGTGAATGTATCAGAAGAAATCCCCAAAGTATTCTTCAAGAATATAATAGGCTTTTTCCACCAAAAGGTCTTTCACTGCTTTCTTAAATTCAATAATGGATTGATTATACAGTGTGTCTCACTTTTCATGGAAACACCCCCATATCTTCCGTAATAATCGAGGTAGGATGATGAAACTCTCGTGGCTAATGGAAATGCACAAAATGCACATACCACCTCACCTAAATGGGGATGGCCAAAATGATATACACTGGCCGCCACTCGCGATGGAACAACCCATCTTGACGATAAAACATACTAGAGAGCAAAATATGCTCAAACCTCCTTCAGATTCGTGATCAGGACTACCAACTCACTACATATACACTTTTTCCCTGAAAAAATTTCAGTCATTAATTATTGAAGTAGATTTTTTTTCGGTTTTGACATCAATTTCCATCAATCCTGACAGCTTCATCATTCTACCTCAATTATTATGGAAGATACGGCAGTGTTTCCATGAGAAGTCAGACAAATTCGAATTTTTCAGCACCTCCAGCACCTTTAAATGTTTTATAGAGCAGTTTTAAGATAGGTAGATAAATGGGTCATCCTTTGTGACCATCGTTAACTGTGTATGTCCATTATTTGTGACATGAGAGCAGTTGAAACCAAGCGTTTGTTCACTACGTATGTGTTTGTTTCAAATAACCCTTTAAACCTCATTTGTTTGCTTATTTATTAATTTTTATTCGTGTTATATTGGTGAAAAAAATTGCTATGGATATTGTTGGTCAAGGTATGTACTACATTTTATGATACATAAGTTTTATTTAATAGGCTTTATTATCGAATATAGAGTGTAAAATCATTTGTATAAAAAAAACTTGTTATTTTCGTCATTCTTCAGCAATCGTGGATATTATAAACATGTGCAACAAAATAATACTTACGTTTTATGGCACTTCAAAGTTTCTAGAAAAAGTTTATGAAGCAAAACCATTCACAAGTATTCACATTTCTTAGAATTTTTTTGTTGAAATTAACGCAAAATTAGAGTTTTGAGTGATATTTTATCAATTGTTACAGATTGTGGACCTTCTGTTATATCTATGACAAGAAAAAAAACCATACGAGCTTGTTAGAGCAAGTCCACAGCGACTGCTTGATAGAAAGCTTCAGGATTTGGAAGAAAAATTGGTTGAAATAACCAAGTGCCCCCGGAAAAAAGTGATGAACTTCAAAAAGTCGCCAAGACTGTCAAAGTGGTATATAAACGTAAATGGCTTGCTTGTAATAGAATAGAAAGTTGGTATCTTCAACAGTGTAATCAAGACCTGCTGTGGGTATAACTTATTTCCAAAGTTTTTGGAGATCAAATCGTTCAGGTGTAGTTTGTGAAATTATTATGGATCTTCATCAAGTAACGGCTGAATCAATCAGAAAAAAAAAAGGATAAGTTATTTATAATGATAATACCAATGGAACTGGGAATTACTCCACTCCTCACAAATACAAACTGATAATTTTCGACAAAACATAACACTGAAAACAAATAGAAACTCACCTTTCAGAATATTCATAGTTCATCTGTGTTATCCTGTGAACGGCTTCTTCCAGTTCTCTGTATTGTATTTGGAAGTAGGGCAAAGGACTGCTGGCGTTTCCTATGTGCGTGGGAAACTTGAAGCTCCATCCGATCTGGTGATCCATTGCATTACTTACGTGCAATAGATCATTTGATATTCGAAACTCGTCGCCGTTACGTCTGAACACAAAATGTCTGCTGAACGATAAAATCTGGGTCGTTTCTCTGAAAATACCTGTTACCACGATTGCCGCACTAGAGTCCTAACAATAAAAAAATGTTACACTCCATTACTTGTTTTCATATGCATGCAAATTTACCGTATATGAAATGACATCACACACTAGAGGATATGGATCGTGTTCAGATTTGGGAAGCTTTCGAAAAGTTTTCATTATGTCTTTTACTCCTATCACCAAGAAAGGTTTCTTGAAGCCATAGTGATCCAACCTGAGAAAAACAAATCGTGTAGTATACATAAACTACATTCTTTGAAAGACATTTTTTTGTAGAGGACTCAATATCTGCCATCTGTCTTCATCTTATATGTTCACGATGTTCCTTTTTCCTCATATCTGAAGTCTATCCAAATCCAAGATAGAGTAAAACAAAACAAAGCCGAAGCGTGATGTTCACGTGATCGCCCAGTGTCAGATGGAAAGGGCAGCGTTCATTGGTGAATTCGCCTTNCCAATGAAAATCTTTTTATATTACACATATTATCTGCATTTTTCCCGTCAAACTGCAAAACTTGTGCATTTCACTCGTTATTATAAAAAAGTTTTCCTAAGTATGATATAGCATTTGCGATCAACAAGATGTTGGTTCTGAATACGACCCTGGCCAATTCTTGGGATTTTCAATATCACGTGCGTAGGGCATGTCAATGTTTACATCTACTCTATCTTGGATTTGAATTTGCTTTAAGAGTCTTGAAGTTTCATCTATATAACTTTTTCCACAGCAACAAGGTATATTGTGAATACAATCTTTCGTTTTTTCAATAGTATTATCGGTTTAAGTTTGTGTCAAAAGAGATCTCAATGTGTTGATAGTTCTAGAAGTTGTCCTTACATTATATTCATAACTGATGCGTCTCAGTTTCTCAGACAAACTGGGAACTTAAGGTATGACATTTGTTATGAGATATTTGTATTGTTGTTGGGTTTGTGGTGATAATGGGATTTGCATATGAGAACTGGGTCCAAGTACAATATCAGAACCTGCTTCAGATCCGCAAACACCATCCGTAGCAGCCTCAAGATAACCAGGCCTCAAGAGAAAAATACAGCGAGGAGAAACCAGCAAATCGACAATAGCAGAGCATGTTTGGACTCATCAACATAACATCAAGTGGTCCCAAGCTGAGATCATTCACAGGAGGAACACTAGTTCAAGAGGAAATTCAAAGAAGCGACATGTATGTTGTTCAACGACGCATTCAGCCAAGCTAGCGTCGAGGTACGCAACATTTGGAAATTTTTAATCGAGCAGAAAAACGGTTACCTCCCACTAAACTGGTGAAGTGGAGGAAGGGAATGAGAGCTCTTCCCACAATACTGCTCAGGATATGCGTTTTGTTTCAAAACCGTTTAAATGATAGTTATTTACTCTTTCATATCATGAACTGAATTGTAAACTGTCTTTGCTTTATCATATGAACATCTAACTATACTTGTTTTATAGTTAGCGTGATGATTAGGTTTAGTAGAGATATCTATTAGTATGAGTTTTCTTTCACTAAACACTTCTATCAAGAGTATTTATCGAGTTTTTGATTATTACATTGAGAAAAAGCAGTTGATTAGGAACTTCTCTTTCTGATGTGAATTTGCTGGGCAGATAAGTTTTCTTTGTAACAGCCTTACCAATCGGACTGCAACCTCACAAAATAAATAAAATAAAGTCAGCCTGCCTGTTAACCGGGCATTTCCTAAAGAGTAGTAACCATGTGGGACCATATCTCCTTGGCACGAAAAGTGAGTTACAGTTCGATAACCTCTTACATCAGCAGGATATTGTTCGATGACCCGAAGACGACATCAATTATTTTGCTGATATCTGCAAAGTCGGCAATAATTTATGTATAAATAGGTTCAATTGATTTGTAATAGCCAGTACTTATATTTCATAGTTATTAGTTGTTACTCTGTTCAAATAAAAAGTTTTTAAAAACCCTTTTGTGTGAACGAGAAATATAATTAGTGTATGAAAACAATATGAGATAAAAAAGATCTAAAATGACATAATCTGAAGGAAACTCACTTGATCAAGGAAGAATTTTTTTGTCCGGGAACCACTCTGGAGTTGACTGAGAAAATGCTGTTTTCAAGGTAGAGATCTTCCAGATCTTGTCTATTGTCAGAATCATAAACGGTGATGAAATGTTCCAAAAATTGGGACGCCAAATCTTCAGCTTCGGGAGAGCACCAGTAGTTCTTCTGAAAAACCGGTGTGGTAATATCCACATCATCCTGAAAGAAGACTTCAATAAAATCATATTATCAAATTGGAAATGTCAATATTTGACAGAGGACAAGAGAAATCATTCAACAATGAAACATAATTTTTAAATTCTTTTAGATTTAATGAATCATGTTCTCTGTTTAAGAGTTTTCACATATTTATATGGACAAACTCTCATTTTTTTCTATGTGAAAGGCTCTATTATTTGATTATTGATACATTTCTTGTTAAAGAGGAAACACTTTTTTCATTTTTAAATTAAAATAATTCTGATCTAACCTTCATTTCAACAGTCAACTCTTTACTCTGTAATTTCGCTTTTTGTGTCTATAATCCAAATTCTTGACATGCCTTATAGATTAATAATAAATTTGATAAAATGAGACAAAAAATTGCCAAATCTGGAGAATATGGTGGCTGAATACATTTTAGAATACTCATTCAATTACTCTGACAATTATCTGTGAATTTTATTGGCATTTCAATATATTATTTTCTGATACAGGGTCATTCAGCTCTCTGGCTGTCAAGAGTAACAGGTGTTGAAAAATGGTAGGAATATTCATCTCTGTTTAAAAAGAAAATGTGGAACACCAAGTTCAATATCCAGATGAAAAATAATTGCGAACTTACCAACTTTTGGAGGTTTGGGCAAAAACTCTTGACATCAATGACATAATTATAAGAATTATATTTGTCGCATATGGGATTGCCATTCAACTTGAGACTCTTCAAATTCTTGAACTCACATAGAATCTGAAGCGCTCCAATATCCTCCAACTGAAAAGTGACTATATCATTAAAAATGATTATGAGACTTGATGATTATATATTTTGAAAGCATATGTTTTAAAAGAATAGCTTCGATTTTTAGGTTTTCTTTCAAATTTTTTTTTCATATTATTTTAAATCAGAAACAAATATTTATTATTGCTTAAATGAAACGGCTCTATGTCGGGTAACAGAAAAAGTAGAACATGCTTATAAAAACAAGAAAGTACCGTTAGCTGCTTTGGTGGACATTGAGGGCGCATTTGACAATACGTCATCAATCATCCAGGCGTCGAGGAGAAGAGGGATTTACAAGATAAGCTGCATGCTTAGGGGAAGATTGATACAACCATTATGGGGGAAACAGTCGTGGCACGGGTAGCAAGGGGCTATCTTTAGGGGGGGTTTTATCCCCTCTGTTATGGAACCTTGTAATGGACGAGCTATTATGTCTCCTGGACCGCAATGGGTATAAAGCACTGGGCTATGCAGACAACTTAGTCATCCTAGTCCAGGGCAAATACAATAATGTAGTGTAGGAATGCATGCAGCAGGCCCTGAATATTATTACAAGATGGACGGAAGAAGAAGGGCTTAACATAAGCCCATCCAAATCGACCATAGTAGCATTAACCAAAAGGACTAAAACGGAGGGTCTCGGACCTCTAAAACTTCGAGGTGAAGAAATACAAGTGTCGGAGGAGGTTAAATATCTGGGAGTAATCTTAGATTCCAAACTGACCTGGAACCAACACTTGAACAGGATAAAAAGGAAAGCGGAGGTAGCACTGATGCTCGCCAGACACACCTATGGAAAACATGGGGGCTAAAACCAGACATGGTACATTGGCTATACACGATGGTGGTTAAACCCATGGTAACATAGGCATCTCTGGTCTGGTGGCCAAATATGAAGCAGGCGACCGCCATCAACAAACTAGGCAAGGTGCAAAGACTTGCATGTTTGGGAATGACGGGAGCAATGATAACTACCCCAACAGCTGCATTGGAGACAGTCCTGGATTACGTCCTTTACACTTTGTGATAATGGGTGAGGCCAGGATGGGCCAATTCAGACTGTAAAACTCACCGAACTACAAAAGATCGGATCGAACAGAAATTTTGGAACTTGTTGAGGAGCACATATTAATAATAATAATAATAATAAGTCTTTATTCCCATAATGATACAATAAATAAACGGGAAAGGCTGAAGATCAGTTGGTTGCACCAAAAGATGCAACCTCTCTTTTTCATCTCAGGCCAAAAAAAAAAACTATATATACATGTATACACAATACATATACACATATATGTACCCATATACACACATACACATATGTAATGCAAAAAAACGAAGAAAAAAAATTGGCAGAAAAAATAACAGAGAAAAAGATTCAAAACTATTTACAAATTGTTGAGTGAAAGTACTAAATACACACATCGGAAAAGTCTAGGGATATTTTTATAACATACTAAATATCATAAAAATAAATGCACGAGGTCGTTTAATTTCGATTAAATTGGTTAAAGATTTTTTAAATAATTCTGTACGGTGTATAGGGGGTGTTAGTCTTCCCCTGTAACGAATGTTGATATTGTGGACATCTGAACGGTATGACAATTTCTTGTATAAATATTTGGGCGCTTTTTCAGTGATAATTTTATGATATAGACAAGCAGCATGTAATGATTACCGTTTTGCCATATTGAGCCAGTTGGTATCTTTGAGTTTATGAGATATATGTTGGCCACGTTTGATGCCGTATATTAGACGTAGACAATTGTTTTGAACAACCTGAATTCTACGTTTATCTTCATAATCAATGCATGGCCCATAGACTGTGCTTCCAAAATTGATTCTGGATAATACAAGAGATTCACAGAGTATGGTTTTTACTTTTTTGTTGTTGAATATGTGTGCGCGAACCACATAACACTGAAGTACACCTTTAACAGACACTTCACGGCCAAAACCATTAGCTGTGAAGAGTGGACGACCATTGGTTATCCCGAAAACGTTTGGAAAAAACACCTGGTATATAGATGGATCGAGACCAAACATGGAACACGAGCTGGACTATACCAAGCGGATAGAAATTTAAACTACAGTTATCCGCTAGGACTCTACACATTCGTCTTTCAGGCAGAAGTGTATGCTATCTTGCAGTGTGCAAGGCTTCTTAAATTGAGACCTCAAAGAAATGAGCGGATCAATATTTTAACAGACAGCAAGAGCGCGCTAGGGGATCTGACAAACCCGAAGGTGACATCAAAACTGGTCTGGGAATGCCAAGAATCACAGGTAATGATAAAGCTGATGAATGCGCTAGACACGGATCATCAACTTCATATATAGGTCCTGAACCAGCTCTGGGGGTACCAAAATCATTGGTATGAAACCAGATTAGGACATGGACCAATAAGAAGCACACAGAGTACTGGACAAAGGTAACTGGCAACAAACACAGTGGAACCTTCATTAGGGAACCGTCCGAGAAAAGAACCGAAGAACTACTTCAATATAGTAGGGATCGGCTCAGAATAACTACAGGGTTACTAACCGGTCATTGTCTGCTTAGAGGACACTTGAATAAAATGGGGCTGTACAACGGAGACCTCAGCTGCAGATTATGCAACGAAGGTATAGAAACAGCTCTACACATCTGCGAATGTGAGGCACTAAATCACAGGAGGCAGGCATACGTGGACGTACAAAATTACGTCCTGAAGAATATGACGAACATCCAACACGGAACCTGTATAAACTAGTTCAGGGAACGAGACTGATGGAATGGGTGTCATGAGAAGTGTTTTCTGGAGACTCGGACTAAATGGACAAGTCAGACAGCTCCCAAGGGACAAAAAAAATTCTTAAATGATATGTATGGTATTTATACAAAACGTCAGTTTTGCGTGGCTTTACGTAATAACTATGGCACAACTATTGAAGTTGCTTTTAATGGGTGTAATAACTATGCATCGAAGCAACTTGAGACAAATGGTTGATATATGCTATATTTCAATCGATTCCTTTCTATTTATTCATTGCTGGGGATCACCCTTTTTATAATAGTACAAACATCAAATATAATAAATATTCATATTCAATTCAAAAATTGAAGAAAAAACTAAACATGTAAAAATAAGACTCGGAGTAAACTCAAGCACGTGAAGATGAGCAAAAGCATTGGACTCTCTCAAGTGTCAGAGAATCCACCTAAGAATAATATTACTTCATGAATACCTCATTATTGCTCAGGTCAAGAATCTCTAGAGAATCTTTCAGCGGGTGAAGATTCTCAATGTCTCTGATATTGTTGTGTTGCAACAATACATGTTTGGGATTCACTTCTGCAATCAGATTCATCAAGAAAAGCAGAAACTTGGTTTGAAAAAGGGGATAGTAGTCCTCTAAATCTGTAAAAGAATCTTATGTTAGTGAAGTTTATTTGGGAAAAAACAGGTTATGGTGTTCTAAAAAATCAGTAATAATTGTATGACACTGAGAAATTCATCACTCAAAATTTGCCAAAAATTTTTGTTGGAATACTTAATAATAATAATAATTTGATTGCAAAACGATCAACACAAGACACAGCAAACAAACAAACATCAGGGCCAGGTTTGAAAACAAATTATTTACAAAATCTATAATGTATGGGGGATGAAAATATTCAAATATTGAGGTACAGTACAAAATCTTGAAATTTAAAAACAGTATTGGCTCACAAAGATGAAGATTGAAAATACGGCTGAATTTGGAAGTTTGAAAACTGTAACACTGAAGGAAAACTGTCTCTTTCCTTTGAATGTTTTCATGTGAAATGTTCGATAGATTCAATGCTATTTGATTACACCAGCTTTTCATCGCTTTGAGGTTCAACTCAATACACTCTGAACTGAACTTCTCAAGAGCTGTTTTACATGGAGGATTTCGTCCTTGTGATGAACGTCTCGAGACTTTTATTTTTAATAATAATAATAATATCATTTATTGCCCAACAGGTAACACCCAATTACAGGACATAATTAAATACATCAGTACTGATAATAGATAAAATAAATTAACAAATCATGTTCATTCTTGATATGCTATATGAATATAACATAACAATGATATATAACATCGAATAGAAAATAAAAGAAAGAAAACTAAAACAAAAGAAAAAACTGATAGTATAACTATTCATAAGATAAGAGTGATTATAATAACTGACTCTCTCACAACACAAAAAAGAAAAAACAATTTTGATATCACTTCAAGATTTCCATTGCAACTTTTTTTATATGATTCGCCGAGCAAGTATTAATATCGCAAAAGCTGCATATCAAGTTGTAGTTTTCACACATATATTTAATTGGAGAATGCGATATTATGTTTGTTCGTGCTGCAGAGCAGTAAAATGTGAGATTCAGCCGTGACTGAGGTCTTGGCACCCTAAAGTTCAGTTCTGACAGGAGCAAATGGCAGTCTACTTGGCTGTGCAGTTGTTTATGCAAAAAGGTTATTGAAGCATATCTACTCCTTTTTTCTAAAGAAATTAATTGAAAGTGATTTAAAAAATTATAGTGGTCAGAAACCCTAGCTGGATAAATTCCACTGTTTTTGAAGTACAAGAATTTCAAAAATTTTCTTTGAACTCTCCACACAACGGGTTAGCAAACTACCTTGAATATTGTATGGATGTTCAATATGTCTATGTTTTCTAGTATATGACATGACTTTACATTTACCTATATTCAGATGTAGGTTATTAATTTCACACCAAGCCTGCACATTACCTATATCTTCCTGAAGTGTTATGCAATCATTCACATTTTGGATAAAATTCAGTATTTTCAGATCATCAGCAAAAAAAAGTTTCATAGAATTTATTTGTGTGCTTAAATCATTGATAAATATCAAAAACAACAGCGGTCCCAAATTCGATCCTTGGTGTACGCCAGACTTAGCAATTATGTGTTTGATTTGTATCAGTTGTAACAAACTATTTGGTTACTGTTAAAAGGGTACGATTCAAAAAAGCCTAGTAGCTTATTACTAAGGCCAATAAGGTCCAGTTTCGAATGTAAGATGCTATAATCAATTTTGTCAAAGGCCTTTGAGAAATCTGTGTATATCACGTCCACCTGTCCTTGATTATCCAATGTTGAGCACACGTAGTAGGAAAACAGTGCTAGATTTGATTCAGTGCTGCGGTGGTTCATGAAACCATGTTGAAATTCACTTATTTGGTTGTGTGTTGACAAGTAAATGTGCTTATTCAAGATAATTTCAAACGCCTTCGCGAAGTTTGAGATAATTGAAATTGCTCTGTAGTTTGATATGTTTGAAACATCCCCGTTCTTTAAAATTGGGCAAATTTTGGCAAGTTTCCAAACATCAGGAAACGATGCTGTATTTAACGATAAGTTAAAGAGGTATTCAAATGAATATAAATTCAACATAAACCCACATTTTTGCATGGAAGGTTTTGAGGAGTTTCCTGTAGTGTTTCTCTATTAAAAAAAACCTAGTACTCATACACAACACATCGATTCCACTGACTAACAGAGCCTTCTGATGTCACATATGTTTTTATCGTATGTGATAGTCTGATAAAAAGATTTTGTATATGCAACTAGCAAGTATAAAGTGCAATTTTTGGTGAATGAAAAAATATCTGCATGTCCTATTCCAGTTCTAACATTTTTTATTGCATCACTGAGTCTTCTAACGACCTGTAGTGAGTGATTAATAAGAACGTATAAAAATTCTTACCTTCATCATCACAAAACGCACTAAGATCCAAAGTTTGTTTCTTCTTCTTATATCTTTTATGTAATACTTTCATTATGTTTTCAGTGCAATCAGGAATAGGCACTTCTTCCGTTAGAATATAGTTACATAGAATTGAAACTTTGAACTGAAAAACAAAGATCAAAATATAGGTTTTAAAAATATAAGAGAAAATGGAACTGTAATAATATGATACACAATATCAGTAACATCAACTATTCTGAAGGTGGTACAAGATATTCAAGGTCAACATAAAGAGTCACTATCAAAAATTGCTTCCTCTTCTTTGATTTAAAGATTCACCATATTGAAAAAAGTCTAAAGACTGTAACGAGGAGAGATACATATTTATAAGTGAATGAATATTTCGAAAGAGAATTTTGAAACACTGATTTCTCCCAGTACCTACACAGTAGGTTCTGGTAAACAACTACTTCTCCAGCTAATACCACGATGGATATTAAATTATATCCAAAAGACATGTCCATTAACTTATAACAAAAAATGTTATGTTTGAGATTATTTTTATTGTGCAAATGTTTTGTATCCTTCTTTATTCATTCTTTCACTATATATAAATAAATATCCGTGATTTGCATGCTGTACAATAATATGAAGTTTCTACTCAAACACATAACAAATTTATCCCTGTACGAATAAAACTGTAACTGTATATACCACCTTCCTTTATCAAACTGTCTGCCTTTAACAGTTTTTATGATTTATATGGTAAGTTGTTGTATCTGACCTATTTCATTTATGTGATAAATCTCTATTCATAGTAAAGGAAAAAATGAATTAGAATTTGCCCACAAATCTTTGAATACTTACTGGTGAGCCTGGACAATTGGGATTTGGAATTTCAAACTTCTCGCTGGCAATCTTCAAAATGACTTCCTGGCAATTCCTAGCCAGAAAATATGCACCCATTGAAGTAAGTTCGAAATATATGGCTTTAAATGTGGCTGGATACACGAAATCAAAAATTGTTTTCAGTATGTGGTTTCTAGTTGAATTTTCAATGTTTTGAATCTGAAAAATCAACAATTATTTGATATACTAAGACTAATGATGATGTCTGGATAATATGAAAGCTCTACAAAAAACTGGTTTCTACAGTCCTTTGTATTCACTTAGGTCATTTCTGTAAGAATTTTTTGTAACAAAATCTATGGTGTAGAACAAGCCTATGAGGCTTCAGTGATACTTGGGAAAAGCGGACTGGTCTGAAAATGATGTAATCAACTGACAGACAGGAATCGATTGCCTCTAGAGCAGAATAAATTAGATCTATGCGATAGAAACCATAGTTGCAGACAGCTCATGTCTAATTTGAGGCAACGGGCCACAAATAATGTTGATGAAAATCTTTGTTTATATTTCTGAAGCGTCCAAAACTGTTTTTTTAAAACTATGTTTCTTTTAACTTCATATTTGATTCTACTTTTCCTTGATGAATTTCTCTTTCAACTCTCAGAAATCACTCTATTCTTACCATGAATTTGTGATAGAAGAAAGGAGTATTACATTCATTGACTATTCTTCTTAGTAATGTTTTATTCATCAACTGCTGGTTTACATTTAAAGTTACATCTGGTATTGGCTCCTTATCCAACAAAAGATTTTTTCCTTCTAAATTTTCACTACTTGGTCTTTCATTTAGGTTTACCATTTCGTTTTTTTCCATTTCAGAGAAACCAAAAGGACTATTTTGCCTATGAAAACATATCTGTTATTAAAAAGATATCTAGGATGAGAATGTATCTACTAACCTATTATTATTTTTCTTTCTTTTAGAGGGACCCATAGTAGGAAGGAAGTAAATCTATAAATTTAATATTACTCCTTATATTACACATAAATATTAAAAAATGTCAACAAATATAGAATTTATCAACAAATCTGTTTTGTTTTTATCTTCTTCTCTGGTTTTTGTTCTTTTTCTTACAACCAACCAGGGTTTTTAGACAAGAGGGTACATAAGGTAAGGGGAAATACGTGTTCCTCCAATGACGTCACACATTTGTTTGAAGGAGTTCCTAAATCCAACAGAGAATGTCTGATGTATTTTCTTGATCAATAGAAACGCGTCAACGTTTTCTAATAGACCAATTGAGGAATCCATCAGAAATATTGGTGGACTCATCGATGAATTTGAGAACTCGCACTTTATTCGACTAATTTCTTCATGCTTGTTTTTGGCTCTTTTCTTTCGTCCAATCTGGGTTCATACTTTTTTTTCGATGACACATGAGTGTCCTGCTCCATAATATACTCAATCTATCACTGCCCGCTAGTTTACTCAATTCTTCAAGGTATTCCCAGACGATGAGACGTATATGTGGTCCGAAAACATGTTTGATGTTCCAATTTGAATTGGCACACCCTTGCTCTCCCTATTATTACAAGACTGAAGGAGGAAGATTTAGAAGTGTTTGGATTACTTTTCATTGCCCCTTTATTCTCAAATATGCTCGCTTTGTTATTGGGTTGTTAGTTTCATATTTGAAATCCAGAACGTTGGCTATCAGTCTGGTATTATCTTTCAAATAATGGATCACTTTCGCCAACATTACTTTCACAATAGAGATTCAATAACAGCTTTTATTAAAATAAAGAACGTGGAAGTTCAAGCAATACTCAGACAACATTTTACTTCTACACTTTCCTTATTTTCCAAGGTTTTGCAGCGACCCCTTGTAGTAATGCAACGAAATGACTTGACAGCTACGTGTCGATTTCTATAAATTAACTTTTTTGAAAGGCCCAACTCATAGTACAAAACCGTCGGACTAGAAACAAAACTTATTTGTTTTACCTACCTGGACCTTGAATGGCTGCCTTGCCAGAATTAATTTCATTAAAAATATCTGGCAATTCTATGACAGGATTTTTTGAAAACACTCATTTTCAAGATGTATGGAAAAAGTTAATTTTTTCTTCAATAATTGAGGCTCTACCCTTCTCTTCTTTGGATTAAGCTACTATGCTACTATGACTGCTACTAGCTTTTATGTTGTTTTTACAATATTACATATAACCCTTGAAGAATTATAAACGTTTTGGAAGCTTGATTTTTCCTGTATCCATCACCAATGAGAGGAAACGTCATCATTCATCTCGACGTCCAATTGATGAAAATATAATTTTTGTCGTTTTTATTTGATAGGCATATCAAGCAACCAGAGCACAAAAAGGAAATTTCATGAATTTCTGACAGTGTTTGTATATAATTGTCAAAGACGAAAATGAATGGCGTTAAATTATTTCGAAAGTTCAGAACTTTACCAAAAAATAGTCGAAAGTTTTCGAATAAATGTGAGAAGTCCTCTGAAAAATCATCAGACCTTTATGAAGTAAGTTGAACTAGTTTCTTATAACTGTTGATTTGACATCAAAATATGATTATCCGACCAATTTCACATTGAAGGCCTACGTTTAGCTTTTACAAATGACGCCAAAAATATTTGAAATGCCAATTTATTTTTTATTATTGAACATTATGTTTAAGATAAGTCACACTGTTGAATAAAAGCTAAGTGAACTACTAGTCACTGAATGAATTTGATTTTTCATGAATTTGACAGTTTACGTCATTGAGAACAAGTCGAATCTACTAAAATTCGTGATACCTCTTATTTCACTTGATTTTAGAATATAAATATATGTGGAGTGATCTGTTCTTCAGGCAATTCAAAATCTACAAGAATGTTTACTTTGGTGACGTCTTTTTGTAATTCTGCAGAAACTCTAAATATTTTATGTGAAAACTTTCAGAACTTTTCAACTCACAATGTTGATCGATATAGAATCCCATACAGATATCTCCAATTCCTCCCTCAAAAGACATTCAAATTAACTTCTAACATTCAATTAACGAACCTGGCCGTAATATATGCGGAATTACCAACTTCCAGTCGTCTGCAACGTTTGTCAAATAAAAGCAATCTCCAAGTAATAATCCGGGAGTGACATGAGTGCACTTCTAGTTCACCGAAGTATGGAGTTCAGCAGGAGTGCATTCAGTGTAAACTTCCAACTTCCTACTGTTTTGTATTTGCCTAACCGATTGAATAGGGTGACCGTGACTTTTTGAATTATGCCGGGTATACGAACTCAGTAGTTTCGTTTTGAAAGTGGGTTTATAATATGACGGACAGAAGTTACGACACAGACTAGTCCTGTACACAATGTTGCCAATGACCTGGTATTCACCAGGATTGTGGATGATTAGATATTTCTTCCTGTAGTTTTTTAACAACATTCTTTTTGCGAGTAATTCTCTCGGTAGGAAGATTGTGGTGACCGTAAAATGGGCGTAGCGTAAAATCAATCGAGTTCCTTATATTATATTATTATTTGTAACAATCAATAAAAATACAGTCCACTCATAGTTAGAAACGAAGGTGTTTCAATTATTCAAATAAATGAAAAAATCGGCAAGAGAAAATACCCTTGTACATATAGGCACGGACTCATTGGTGGAGAATCAAAACGTAAAATAGATATTCAGGCTAAAGAGAGTCTAAAGTCAACCAAAGACCTGAGAGGATCTTCAGAAATAACCGGAGTCTATCGGATCCTCTTCTGCAATCGATCGATCGGTTTACAGTGGAACCACGAAAAGAGGTGGGAGTAGGTACTGAACACAAGAGAAATGTTCGCCTGGGATATGCCGACATATGCCGCGCTCGAAGTTCGAAAATCTTGGATACATCCCAAAGCTAATTTCCAAGGCTGTATAGGAAGACGATATAAATTCAGAAACATGGAAATAATTACAAGAGGAAAGGAAATTGATATAAATGGAGACTGGATGCCTTCACGAAATTCTATACGTATCAGATCATTCAATCCAGTAGATACGCTATGGGAGAACAGGTCCAATATGTCATTTTCGATACCAGATTTTCAAAAAAGTCACTAGATTCGATCGAAAAGTCACTAGATCTTTTCAAAAAGTCCTAGTTTTCCCCAAGAAGTCACTAGATTTTGCCCCATAATCATATAGGAAGAGTACGACAACCAAATCTAACTTGTTGAATTTTTCACTAGATTCATTGAAGATACCTTAGATTTCCCCAAATAAAAATCCCTTGCAGTTGTGTGCCCTTTTGGGCACAGTGCCCTTTTGGCACTGAGCCACATTTTTCTTTATGAATTCTGCATCTTTCTATCTTTCATTTGACGTACTGCACGTTACCATCCGACTATTATTAACGAAGATACGGCTCAGTGCTCACTTTTTGAAGGAATATAGTGACATTTTGGACAAATCTAGTGACTTTTTCAGAAACATAGTGACTTTTGGGCCAATCAGTGACTTTCCGATCAAATCTAGTAACTTTTTGGTAAATTTAGCGACAAATATTGCATGTTGCACCTGCTTAATTCTTATGGTCATTTCGGTCTTAGTAACCTCAAAGCATATCTACTTAATTCAACCAGGAGGAACCGACCTAAGCCTACCACCAATGGTATGAAATAGGTTTCTCACATCTCGAACGAAGTGGAATGTACATCACAGTGCAGTAGAGTGAAACCAACAAAATAGCCTGAGCAATTAATTTGAATTGAAATATTATAATTTTTTAACGATATCAAAATCCTCGTTTTCATTATTCATGTGCCAAAAACTTCCAAACATTAGACTGCATATTTTTTCATTTTACAGAAGCACACTATAATCAATCATAAGTATGACTGCGTAGTTGTGGGGGCTGGTGGGGCAGGTTTGAGAACAGCATACGGCTTAGTATCGCAAGGATTCAAGACTGCCTGCATTTCGAAATTATTTCCAACAAGGTCTCATACGGTTGCCGCCCAAGGAGGAATAAACGCTGCCCTGAGTGAGTAGTTTTCATATACAGTGACACTAATGTCGGCACTCATCATTAACACTCAACTCAACGTTAACAACAAATTTTTCAGAAAAATTAGTAGAAATACTTTTTATAAAATTGGTGACAGCTCCTTCATTTTTGTTGCTTACGTTACTTACTTCAAATATTTATTGTTCGCAAGGTCACTACGAAGATGACTGTTGGTTGTGGCATCAATACGACACTGTCAAAGGTTCTGATTGGCTTGGAGATCAAAACGCTATTCATTACATGACTAGAGATGCCCCAAGGGCAGTATTGGAGTTGGAGAACATTGGAATGCCTTTTTCTCGTAACAAAGACGGTAGGATATATCAAAGAGCTTTCGGGGGCCAGACTCTGAAGAAAGGAGATGGTGGACAAGCGCACAGGTGAATCTATAGATGGTTCTTTTTTTAACGAACTGTAAAATAATTTAGATGAAATGTTTGATATCATGTTTTCATTTTTGTGCGGACGTCACAACTTTGGTCTGTTTCGATGAAACTGAAATGAAAAGTGATTTTCCTAGCATTTAAATTTGGCTAAATTTTCCTGAGTAGAATTTTAACTTCGAATGTTATATCTAGGTGTATATACCAAATACTTATATTTATCATATTTATACAACTTTTTTCTACAATAATTGCAATATAAGATATGCAAAAAAGTAATTTTTTTTGTTTACATACCTATCGATACAATTTTTGCCATGGAGGGCACACATTCAAAATATGAGGAAGAAAATTCCATCAGTAATAGGAATTTCATATAAGTTGACATTTTTTACATCGTTAAAATATCTGTAAGTTATATACTTTTCTTTCATCCATCTAAAAGTTCATCATTTAATTTCTGATTGAGGTATTGCCACAAAAGCAACTCTGAAACCCTTGAAAACTTCATTGAACTCTGAAACCCTTGAAAACTTCACAAAATAAAGCAATAAATATATTTTCCAACTTGACATTCCAACAAGCAACAACTAAATTTCACACACCTCGAAATTTTTGCTTGTTTTTTAGGACATGTGCTGCTGCAGATGCTACCGGGCACTACTTGCTTCATACTCTATATGGACAGGCGGTAAAATACAACTGTGAATTTTTCATCGAATATTTTGTCATGGATCTCTTGGTGAAAGACGACAAATGCTGCGGTGTTATTGCTTGGAATTTGGAAGATGGTACAATTCATAGGTATATCTGTAATTTGAACATGAATACGACTTTTATTTGTTATGTTTTTATTTCTTATTGTACAGTTCCAAAATAACAACTGCTTCCAGTAACGCCCGTCGCAGCCACGTGGCTGCACGTGGATTTGCGATGGACCTTCAGTCCCGAAACTATTTATCGCTTCTTGACCAGAGCCGGCGAGTGCCAGTTCGGCGGTGTCCAAAACCCGCGAGGTTCTCAAGGACCTGGTGGGATCCTAGCATTCGATAATCCGGGAAATTCTGTCTCTCTCTTTCTTTCTCGTGGAAACCGCAGTGAAGGCAAGGTTCGACTTGAGAAGAAAGTTCCCTATCCACTAACCAAGCTAAATGCGCCTGGCCATCACGATAGCTGGACCACAAGGTCTCCTACGAACCCCCAAACTACACGACACACTTCTTCGCAACTCGACCACCTAGCCTGATAATACAAACTGCACCTGGAGGCACATGGTCGTGTGCCCCAGCCACTACTGCTAAGTCTTTTCCGTTAGTGAGCTGGAGCGGCGTACTTTCAGATAAATTCGATCCTGGTTAGGGCAAATACGTCGAAAGAGACCGGCTAGTGGATCCCTTGTAGTGGTCTTAGCCGTCATAGAACGAATTCTTTTCATAGTAGTCCTGATAGACACAAATCGTTGGATGTAGGAGAGCTAAAAACTCTCTCGAAGTGTGCAAGGTCTTATTAAAGACCGTTTGTGTATTTATGTTTGAATATACGCAGCACCATCGGCGTGAAGAAAAACCTGGGGAGGAGGTACGTCGAAAGCGAGAATTCTGTGTAGAAGGCCTTCGTACCAGACACGGTAGAAGGTCTTTGAAATGTCAAGAAGGACAAGATCGACGACTTTTCTGTTGTTTAGCTCAGAGATGGAGTTCTCGACCAGTCCCAGGACCTGCAGCTCAGTGGAGTGTACCCTCGTGAAGCCGAATCTTTTGTCAGGCAGAGCATTTCGGTCTTCAACTTCTTTTGTCAGCCTCTGCAGCACAACACGTTCAGCCAGTTCAGCCGTTGAGTTCAGCAGACTAATAGGACGGCGATTCTAGGTACACAGCGGGTAATGGCTTTGTTTCGGGATTCATCTTCGAGGCTCAGTTGCCCTCAGTCTGTGATTCCTCTCCACAAAAAAGGTAATTTAAATGAAATTGACAATTACAGGCAAATATCGCTGCTCTGTTCCTCATCCGAATTATTAGAAAAGATAATAGTAAACAGAATAACCGATTACCTGGAAAGCAACAACATACTCTCAACCTCTCAGCTCGGTTTTGTTAAAAAGAGATCCATTGAAACAGCTTCCTACCATCTTCTAGATTACATTTACATTCAGATTGATAATAATAACTACGTCTTATCACTATTCCTTGACCTATCGAAGGCATTCGATACGGTGTGCATGGTATTTCTTTTGAAAAAAATAAGACAATGTAATTTCCCATCTAACGTCATAAACCATCAAATCCTACATGAAGGGACGAACTATGTACGTCTCTTGTAATAATGTACTTTCTGATTCTCATGCCGTAAAACTTGGCGTCCCCCAAGGATCTGTTATCGGACCACTACTCTTTCTCCTATATGTTAACGACATGCCTTAACATATAACAATGCGTTATGTTACAATTTTTGCCGATGATACTACCATTACCATAGTAATGGCAGATGAAGCCCAGTTTAGATGAAGCAGGCCTCCTAAATATTTACTACGCAATGGTTCACTCTCGGCTTAGTTTAAATATCATGGCTTGGGGAAGAGCAAGAGACTTGAATAGAGTTTTTGTGGCTCAGAAAAGAATCCTGAGACTTATATTTAATTTGAATTTCAGAGATAGTTACCGGCCTATTTTTATAGAAAAAAAGATTTCAACCCTCATATTTATTTATATTTTTAAATGTGCTATGTTCGCAAGACATAACTTATCGGTTTTTGGGACAAAAGGATCTGAACACGAACATAATACACGGCATGGAGCTTTTTTGAGAATTCCACAACACAGAACCTCATTATATGAGAACTTCCCACGGTACAATGTAATCAGTTGTTATAATAAGTTACCAAATCATCAAAAACAAATTACCAATGATAAAGTATTTCACAAAATTAAAATCTTTTTACTTAGAAAGTGCTATTATAGTTAGCAAGAGTTTATGAACGATAATTCGATAGACACAGATCTTACATGACTTTTACCTTTTTAATGGTTACCAATATTGATTGTTTATTTTTATTTTTATATACAGACACTCAAATTCATATGTACAAATTGACAGATTTTATTTATTTACTTATTTATTTATACATATGTACGTATATTTTTAGTGTAACAAATTGTAATATTGTTATAAGGAGCTACCATATGTACCTAGCGTACCAACAAATGGGTAATAAACTTTATTATTATATTATTACTATTATTAAGTCTTGCTTGAAACCCAAACTTTTATTTGCAGATTTTTCACCAATAATACCGTGATTGCAACAGGTGGCTTCGAAAGGTCATACTTTTCATGTACAGCTGCTCACACATCGACTGGCGATGGTACTGCAATGGTCACTAGGGCAGGATTTCCCCTGGAAGATATGGAGTTCATACAGTTCCATCCAACGGGTTTGTGATTTTCATTTCAGTTGTTTTGCAAATCTCGTGGGCAAACTGCAATGTTTGGGAGATATTTTTCTTAGGTGTATACGGAGTTGGAGTTTTGATAACGGAAGGTGCCAGAGGTGAAGGTGGTTTCATACTAAACAGTAAAGGAGAACGGTTCATGGAGAAATATGCACCGAAAGCGAAGGATCTGGCTTCCAGAGATGTCGTTTCCAGGTACGAAGTCTGAAGAAGAATTCATATGTGGTAGATAAAAACGTGTCAGGTAGTCATTGAGATTGTAAATACTATAATATAATTATTAAAGCATCAGTCAGTGAAATATTTGTGTTGGAATAGTTTTGCTTTCTTTCTTCAGGTGTATCACACTGGAGATTCTGGAAGGTAGAGGGTGTGGACCGGAAAAGGATCATGTTCATCTTCAACTGCACCACCTTCCAAAGGAGAAAATACTGAGGCAGCTACCTGGAATAAGGCAAACCGCCTCTGATTTCGCTGGAGTCGATATAACTAGAGAGAACATATCGATTATACCGACTGTTCATTACACAATGGGTGGGATACCGACAAATTATAAGGGCCAGGCTTTGACGCAAGTGGCAAGTAACAATAAAATCAATTTGAGGTTTTATAACACTTTTTTAGTCATAAAACTGTTTTAGTTTTGGAACCCAATTTTTCGTAAAATAAATTATAGCATACTTAATACAGGCTGATTCACGGTGGATGGCACATTAGACGTTTCTGGTGAACCAGACAACGGATCACTTTGAAAATTTAATGGAGGGCATATTCGGACATTCTCTAGCCAACTAAAATATTTTCGACAATGCGGTGTTGCCGCTTCTATT